TTATGCCTTTGAGGTGAGCCAGCAATCTTGAAAATCTACCCCCCAAAGGACTGTATTTTTCCCAAATTCTCCTTGAACTTAGAAAGGGCAGTGTGTCTGCTGTTGGGCCGTGTACCCACCTAAAGTAGGAACTTGCTAGCACAAAAACTTACGAAGAGCTAGGAGTGTAGTGAAATTTGCAGATTTTTCTTAAATTCTTATTTAAAAGTCTACTCTATTTAATGGGAAAACCAGGGAATCCATTCCAAATAGTGCAAGTTCTTTTTTTTTTTACTAATATGATTGGAAACTGTCACTATATTGGATTATTTTCTTGTTACAGTTATTGTTATTCCTTTTAAAAGAGAGAAGGGGAATAGAGGATACATAGTGTGAGAACAAATGAGAGCCAAGGGAAAGGCTGATAAAGACATGAACATTCTTTTACTCTCAATGAATCCTGAACTGCAGTTCCATGAAAAAAAAAAAAAATGTTTTAATGTATTTTTGCAAATATATGTAATATACATCTCTGAACTCCTAACAACCTGTCATGTGACTGCTGTGATACACTTGACAGACCAAAATTACACTTTTACAATTCAGCTATTCTAGTCCTGTTACAAAGCTCACGCTGCGCGCCTGCATGCCCATGCACCCATTAGCATTCCCTTAACTTCAGTTTCATAAAAGACTCTCCGTTTCCTCCCTCTTTTTCCACCCCGCCCCCACTGCAATCTTCCTCCTGTTTGTCCAGTCCTTTCACTTGTATTCATTGTTGTCATCCTCCTCATTGTTCTTTTCAGAGGGCTTGCCTCTGAAAAGTCTATGCCAATCCCATCTCTTCTATATGAGGTCTGCCATCTCTTTCCCATCGTCTTCTTCTGTCTTCCTGCAGTACCAGTACACTTTACTCAGTCCCACTTTAATACAGTCCTTGACAGTGAGGTCTGTGTGCCTGTTTATGAGCAAGTTCCTGGTCTTCCACAGGGCATATCTGAGGCAGGAAGTGAATTGGTCAAAGTGGACTGTTGGGGCCCCTTGCTGTTTAGTCCAGTGCCTGTAGAGGACCACTTCTCTGAACAGATGACACATGGGGGGAGATAGGTGGCAGGTGTGTGCTCCCCCTGAGATTGTGGGGGTGCTGAGAGAAACGCCGGTGGCACTCCAGGGTTTGCTGCCAGCACTTCCATTGGAGGACCCCTCAGTTGGCAATGGGTGACTGGTGCCTCCTGCCCATACTTCTCTGGTCAGGGTTCTGAAACCTGTCACCAGCAGGAGGAATGTGTGCACTTTCTTCCACACCTCTCTGGCATATGGGCAGTCCCAGAAGAGGTGGTCAGTTGTTTCTGCCTGCCACCAGCAGGATTGCCTCGGGCAGTTGGATGGACCTCTCTGCCCTGCACTGTTTCTCCATGCCTGCACGAGGAGTGCCCAGTGGGATGCCTGCCAGTTTAAATCTGTGCTCCTTCTGCAGGTCCTTATGGAAGATTCACTCCCACGTGGCCTGGCAGCTGTCACCAGGTACTAAGTCCATGACTGATATGATGTCTCTTGCCACCTTCTGTATCTTGTGGTGGTTTACCAGGGTCACTGGGGCCATGTTGTGCAGTTTGTCCCAGAAATGTTTCAGGACCTTGTAGAACCATGGGGACTCCATATTTCTCCAAAGATGTTAAATAACAACCAGCAAGTTGATTATATCCTCTTTTTTCTGGTGTGAGCTTTAAAGGACACCTCATGATGTTCTCTAGCTACAAAATGTTTTTAGTTCAAAGTACTAAATTGCACTTTGGCACTGAAGGGAGTTACTTAGTTTCTATACACTCCTTCTTTCCTTGCTTCAAGGCCAAGACTTCAAACCTAGTTCTGCAAATTGCTCTGCATCTGCAAATACTTATACCAGCATAGAGTTCTATTAGGATACCTGTATTAGGGTTCAACATTAACTTGGGCAATCAGCACTTTCATTTGACTGCCTGGGTTAGCTTAGCCCAAGTATGAGTAGACAAACTGAAGACCCATATCCAATTTACTATGCCTTCACTGGCGCCAGGCTCATCCTATGCGTTGCTAAGACTTCTGGGAGCATATCCCATAATTGACTGTGCCTACAAATTACAGTATCACATAAGTTAAGCAGCCTTAGGCATCATTAAATTCAAGTGACATTTTTATGTGGAGGATTTAGAGGCAGCATCCAAGAGCCTAAGTTAACTCTACAATTAAGATGTACGTACCTATGTGGATAATTTGAGTGTAATTTGGCAGTGTGGTTGTTCCAAAGTAGGTTATTCTCAGGCTCAGTTTGTGGTGCTGATCACCATATGCTACAGTATGCACCTATCTTGAGGTCAAAAGGATTATGGATAGGCATACAGGTTTGCCTTTAAGTGGTGTCTTTAGCACCAGACCCTTAGCACAGGTCCTGTGCTACTGAACTCCATGACACTTTCCTTAGGATCCTACACTGTGGGCACATTTACACATGCAACTAATATGACTGAATATACTTTGGCTCAATTTGAACCGGAGTAAATTTATCCTGACATCACCATCTACATATGCGTTTAAGCCCAGTAATTTACTGTGCTGCCAGATACCAGTTGTCTCTGATGGGACTATCAGGCAATGCAGTAAATTAATCTACTCCATCCTTATTGCTGTGCACATATAGACTGTGACACTTTACTTGAGCAGCCAATTAGTCTGCTGCACAGTGAAGTGTCTCATGCAGATGTGTCCTGTAGGATCAAATGGAGGCATGGAAGAAGAGAATGTGGAGAAAGGAAGGAAAAGCATACTTGTAGGAAAAAGCTTGCAAACAAAGCTTTAAAAGCAGTTTAGGATAGTCTGTGCACAAAATATGCCATACAAAATAGCAAAAGTTACTGTGTGTGTGTATGGAAAGAGTAAGGTGGGAGGGAATTATTTCATTTCTATAAACTGTCTTGCTCCAATGCAAGCTTTGTTTTGTAGGTCAGATCTCTTGGGGCTCAAACAAACCCACTGACTAAGGGGAAATGACAATGTTCTGCAAACTTCTCATATATCTGAACTGGGCTTAAAAGGGAAAAAAGACTAAATGGTGACTTGAACTATAACACTGAGTGAAATGCAGAATTCTAATAGGTTTCATATCCCTGCCTCTTTTTTTGAAAGATGAGAAAAGGAGCCAAAATGGATGTGTGAGTGTGTATGTGACATCTAGACCCTAGTTATACCAAGGGTTAAGGCAAGAGTGAGCAATTGTTTTAGCTGGATGGCTGCTTAATGAATTTTGGTGAGCTTTTGAGGGCTGCAAGGGTAGCCTTGCCTCTTCACAGGTGCCCTGCTCCCTGGTTGCCACCTTGGAACTGGAAGTTCTGCCCTAACCCCTGAACTTTTCCACCAGAAGTCCCTCTCCTTGCCCCCAGAAGTACTCCTTTTGTGGGGGAGGGTTACCATCTTGGCATGGGGAAAAAAAGTCAAATCATATGCTAAAAATCAAACTGATTTTGTCCTGATTTACATGTGTTTGCATAGTGTATACAGAAGTGACTGCATAAAAAAAAAAAGTCTTACTTGTGTATGTTGTGTGTGGGGTGTGTATGGTGGCATGTGTATGTGTGTGGGTGGGAGTGGGGTTCATGAGGAGGTGTGGGGAATGTGTGCATAGGGGGGAGGGTTGTGGAGGAGTATGGCTGTATGTGTGGGTGTGCCCCCCATGATGTACAGCCCCCACTGCCAGTGGCAGCAGCAGCAAGCCCTTGGGGAGCTCATGGCTCGTGCAGGTAGAGCTCCCTGGTGGATTGCTTCATTGCATAGGGCTCCCTGGGACCCAGCCAGAGCTGCATGCCATGTGGGGGGGAGCCCCGTGCAATGGAGCCAGTGGCCTGGACCCACTCCCTGACATCACATACAGCTCCCGGGAATCTGCTGGGAAGCAGGGAGTGGGGCAGAGCTAGCCTGGCCACATCACGCGCGGCTCCTCACCAATTCCACTGCAATCCTGGGAACTGCACATGGTGGCAGGGAGCGGGGAAGGCCACTGGCTCATTGTGTGGGGCTTCCCCCCCAGTGGCATGCAAGTCCTGGTTGCTGCACATGAGCTGGGCCAACCCAGCTTCCATGCTCCTGCCACCTCGCTGGGCATGGGCCCTGGGCTCCGCACTCCCACTCAGCTGCAGCTTCTCCCCCCCTGCTGGTGCTTCTCTACCTGGTACCCAGAGCACTGCAGCAGGGACACGAGGAGGAACTGGGGGAGCTGAGCAGTTCTCCCGGCAGTAGCAGCAGTGGCCCTGCCTAGAAGTTATGTGCTGGCTGGGGCTGGGGTCAGGGCTCTCCTCCACACGAGGAGCCAAACAGGATTGGGTGGGGCTGCCCCAGCTGCTCCAGCAGGAGTGGGTGGGGCTTCGGCATCATGCAAGTGCAGCAGGGGCAGCTGTGGGCTGGATGGTATACAATTAATTGGTGGGCACCCACCTGTGAGCCAGATGAAATTGTTTGGCAGGCCAGAACTGTACTTTGCCTGGTCCTGGGTTAATGGAACAATACTCTAGTTGGGGTGGAGTCAAGGAGACATTAATTAACCACTGCATTTTCAGAGAACCCCCAAATTGACTATTTTGGTTTAAATTCTCTCTCTTTCACTTTCTTCAACTGTTGCACAAATGACAGATGGTATCTTTCCTAGTGTAAGTTATAAAGACAAAGATTTTACCATACTGCTCTATAGCCATTAGTGCCATCGTCAACTTACCTGGACTGTTACTAGAATTTCAGTTCTTGCTCTTTGGGATTTCTAAATAGATTCCCAATTCAAGTTTCTGCCAATATGTTTGACATGTCAGTATCTTGTGTCTGGCTATGACAACTGGAAACTAGCCTCTTTAGTAAAAGTGTTTTGAAATCTAGAGACGAAAAATGCAATGCAAGAGCCAGATGGCATCATTATTATTAATAAGATCAACTATAATCTGTATGCAGTATATAAGGAATTGAAAGTTTGCTAAAGCAAAAGTATCATATTAAAAACTTACTTCTTTCACAAACCACTGGCAAAAGGCAGGGCCAATCCATTCTCTTGCATGAATTCCACAGTCTATCCAGACAGCTCTCTTGTAACGCCGTGATCTTTTACCTAACTAAAAAGTATAGATATTCACAGTAACTACAGCAGATCTTTGCTTCTTGACACTTGTAGGTAGAATAGGATCTGTCCTTCAGCAAGGGAAGTTTAGGTTGGAGATGAGAAGGAACTTTCTGACTATGAGGGTGGTCAAACATTGGAAAAGACTACCTAGAGAAACAATGGAATCTCCATCCTTGGAAGTTTTCAAGAGCAGGTTAGACAGGCTGTGATGGTTTAGCTCTTAATGTTTAAGGCCCAGATCATGTTTTAGCTCTTAATTTTATCTACACAAGGTGAGGAAGAGGAGGATTCACCAACTATTTACCTCCATAGCTTAAGTGGTTAGAGCACTTTGCCCAGGGAGTTGGAGATGTCTCCCTCTTTGTGGGCAACTTACCAAACCATTTACTGGTCTAAAGCAGAAGTGGCACCACCATGACTTGCTTTCAAAACAGTCATTAATCCTGTTTCTTCTCTGACTCAAGTTTCAGGACTTATGTGAGACTGTTTGTGGCATTTATATGCTTCCCCAAGTGGATTATTATGACAACAAGAGCATGTATGGGCTTGGAGGGCTAATGGTCACATTGGATTGCTTATGAGCATCTGCATTATTCTATTAGGAGAATTTTATTCTATTATTCAATTTCTAGTAGGAGTACATGAGTTAGGGTCTAAAACCTGTATAAGTAGTGCCTGGTAGATGGACTAGGATCTGGGCCTTAAATGCTTAAATACTATTTAGATTGACTCTTAGTAAGAAAGGACAGCCAGAAATGAAGCTGGGCCTTAATAAGCAAGGACAGCCAGAAATAAATGCTGTTTGTGAGCTATAATAGAGAGTTTGTATTTTTTTTGTACAGTTATGCAAGGGACATGGCTCTGTTTTGGTGTGGCCAAGGTAGGTAACTGGTAAAATCAGGCCTGTCAACTTCTTTTATTGTAAAGGAAAGAAAGCCCTTAACTATTACTGGAGCAGGGTCAGGAAAATTAATGATCTGAAAATAATACTTCACTGAGAGAAACATGTGATATGGAAACAAATTTAAAGAAATGATTGATAACAGATGAAAGGAAAACATATAACTTAAAAGTAAAAAGCTTTCCTCTGTAGGCCCTGTCTAATTTGTGGTCCTAATAACCTTATTTGTGAATGTTCCATCTTGGTCTTTCATCATCAATAGATCAACAAGAACCATGTGTGGCACAATATCCTGAAGGGGTCATGAGTTTCTTGTGGTCCATTTTCCTCTTTAGGGTAATCACTCTAGAAGTCTGTTAGAAACGCAGGACTTGCTTAAATCCTTCTCATTTTACTTGCACAAGTAATCCATAGGTTGCAATAAGTAACCTGAATACAATTTGGGGAAATACTTCAACTTTTTTGTATTGTTAAGAGCCAAATGCTTATTTCATGGTTCATTAAGGGCCTGATCCTGAGAGGTGTTGAGGAGATATGGCTATTAAGCATTTCTCAGATAAATGGTATATGAAATAAATATAAGGCTTATATAAATATCACAGGAGACATGACTAGGAGCAATGGCCTCAAGCTTCATCAGAGGAAGTTTAGGTTGGAGATCAGAAGGAACCTTCTGGCTATGAGTGTGGTCAAGCACTGGAAAAGACTACCTAGAGAAACTATGAACTCTCCATCCTTGGAAGTTTTCAAGAGCAGGTTAGACAGGCTGAGATAGTTTAGTTAGAGATGATCCTGCCTTGTGCAGGGGGCTGGACTAGATGATTTTGTAAGGTTCCTTCTAGCCCTACTTTTCTATGATCCCAAGTGTTTGACACTGGATGTAGTTGGTCCTTGATTACTTTAACCATGTCATCATTTTACCTTGAGCACAAACAGTTGTCTCCCTTCGTATGATTTTCCAATGGAGAACATATGAATGAGATCCGAGTGAGTTTTGTTCAGTTGATACATCCAATTTTGGATCTGGAAATATGGAAATAAAATTGCTGCCTCAGTTGTTTGCTTTTAATGAAAAGAGAAAGAAGAGTAAAGGAAACCTTGTGATGGGTCCCATTTTATTTCTTTTGTCCTGGTCTGTTATTCAGACTAAGGAGTGGGGAAGGGGTATCACTGTCCTCTTTGTTACATGTTGTCTGCACAGTGCTTATCATGCCTTGATACTTCACTGGGGTTCCTAGGTGCTAATATAAAACTACTGCTGAGCCCTCAGTGTGTGTTTTGATATTCTTGGTATATGTCTTTCATTTTTACTGTCTCTGTTCTCTGAATGCTCCAGATCTCTTCCTTTTCTCAGCTTGTTGTTTCAGTTTTTTCTTTCTAACCTCTGCTAGTCCTATTTTGTCCTTATTACAACACAGTGGGTGCATCTACACATGTCCCTATGGCGCTGTTGTTACTACACCGCCATTTAGTACCTCCTTTAGAAACGCATGGTTATTTTTAACTGCTATGTTGCTGTAGCGATGCCCTGTAATGTTAGTTTGTGCCCGCCAACTTTACATTGCTATAGTGTCTTATGTAGATGCACCCAGTGACTTCTAGCTGCCTCCTGAAAAATTCTGAGGAGGGTGAGTCTAACTGGCCATTCTCTGAAGACAGTGGAGGTTAAATGTAGAAAGGATGCTACTGTCTTCCATGCTTCCCCATGGAAGACAGCAGCTGGACATACAGAAAAGGTGCTTCTGTTAAAAGAAAAGGTAGAGCACACGGACACTTGTGTTACTTGCTTTGAGAGTATTAGATGCCATAGTCAAACTTCAGGAAGTACAGATCCCTGTAAATTCAAACCAGTGTTCCTGTTTCTAGAGCAAACTGAAGCAAGCAGTTTTCACAGAATTCTAACAAATTACATACTGACAATAATATGTATTGAACAGATAAACAATTGCCTTTTAGACAATCTATGCGTGTTCCTTCCCCCTGAGAAATGTTTTGAAGTCAGCTGCTGCAGAAGTTCTGCACACAATACAATGAAGAAAGAAAGGCAACAACATCAGGCAAAAAGTGTGTTACAGTAATTTAAAGTCAACTTTCTGAAGAAAACAACCCAAAAGTTTAAAAATCTTGGAGCATGTTCTTAAATCAATATTAGGCCAAAACTGCCTTTGACTTCAGTGAATTTCATCAATCTGTTAACGGAAGTTGTATCCTACAGCAAGAAATTTAGGCTAGGTACAGACATTACACACAAACTGGTATAAGTGATCAGAAACTGGTCTATACCTGTAACAGAACAGATGTTCAGTGCACATAGACTAGTTTAATAATGGCAGAACCTGTTCTAAAACAGATCTGGACTGATGTAGTATCAGGTTTAATCAGTTCAAGTTAAACCAGTCTATTGAACTTATGCACCAGATCCTCCCCCAACTCAAATAGGTCGCTGTCCTCTGGCATCCCAGGCTCCTTTGCAGGCTCCCACTAACTACTCCTCATATGGCAGGCAGGCAGGCTAGCCTTGGGCAGCTTGTGCTTCTGTTCTGGCTGAGTGCAGAGCTGGCTGTGCCCCCAGGCTGTCACAGAACTCAGGCACTAAAGCCTCTACTCCCCAACCTTGTGTCCTGCCTGTACCTGTCAGCCAGGGGAGGAGGCAGCGGAGAGAGAATGGAGCCCTCTGCCCTGCCTCCCTCTGAGCTGGAGTCTGCACAGCTGGGGAGGGAAGAGGGAGGAGGCTGTGTAGTGGGGACTTTCCCTGTGCCGCCACTGCCTGGGCCCCCACTTGGATAATCTCAGCTGCCCTTGGCAGTATCTGGCATGCTGAGAGTGTGGAAACGCCCTATGCCTTCTGGCCTCAGCCAGTGCAGGCATCTACCTGTCTTCCCCAACCCAAGCGTGAACATATGTTCCATTCACTCCTAATCCAATTTACATAGCTTAGGGAACTTTGCCTTGGGTGTTTTGAATGTCTGTACTTAGCCCTAATACAATCAGTATCTGCTCTTCTCTCTGTGAGCTCTCTTATGTCAATGGGAATCAGTCACATGAAATCTTGCAAGATTAAGCATTTTATAATAGAATCCTTTTCTTTTAAATCTTTGAGTTGAATTCTGAAATTCACATGCAAAATTTTCATCACCTGAGTGAATCATTGGAACTGCTCACACAGGGAAGGTTAGCTAGGTGTTTAAGTCTTATGCCAAAATAATTTAAACTAAGATCACTTTGAAAAGTGCTTTGTTGGGACCCCCCCCCAAAATAACAACAAACAACCCCCCCTTCCCCAAACTGCTAAGGATGGTGATACTTTTAAAGATGTATCCAACCTTGAAAGTAAATACTCTAAACATTGGATTTAAAAAAAAGAGTCAGGAATCTTCTGTTTAAAAAAAAAAAAAAAAAAAAAAAAAAAAGAAGAGGAAAACTTGCTGGAGAGGACTATGCATATGTAATTTTCATTAGCATCTCTATGTGCCAGGGTAGGAACACACAGACATCAGTGAGACTATAGATGAGATATGAGACACACCATCTTAATTTCTACCTACTTCTTTTAGTGAGTGATACACTTCATAGTTGTATCCTGGCACAGATCTACGATTCCTAGATGACCTCAACCCAGTTTGTTTTTCTATCGCTTGCTGTAGATCAGATATGAGAATCCTGGGTTAAAAAAAAAAAAAAAAAAAAAAAAGCAACATGAATAAGCAGCCTGGCAATGCAAAATAACAATCACATTTTAAAAGAAGTAAAATCAGGCTGATGTTAAATAATTTCTTTTTTGCTTTAATGATATCATGTTGCAGGCTTATAATACATGCTGTCAAATAAAAAGTGCAATTGTTTTGAAGCATAATAGTGTTTAAAAAATGCAGGAAGCTTCTTAACAGTAAAATAAATAGAATAGTATAAACAACTTAACCAGTGTGAAGAGTCATTTTGATTTGTTTATGTGTAGCTACATTTTGTTTATATGGATACATTTGTAGTCTAGTTTGAGGTTTATACATAATCAAAGTTCTCTCAGGCTTGACTGTAAAACGGTTTAAAACATATATCTGGAAAACAATTAAAGAACAAAAAAAAAAAAAACCCCAAAAGACCAGATGTTTGGAATAGTAATGTGTCATCAAAAGCAAAAAATGTTATGTAAAAACTACCCTTGAATGATCACATAGGTTTTAGTATGAAAATGTTACCGTGCAGCCTGTAACTTAAAAATTACCTTGCAAAAATATGAACCAAATATTACTCAGTGTGACGTAAATTTATGGTGTACTTCATACTAGCACTCGTTCACTGTGGGAATGCTAATGCGTAGGCAAGAAGCTTTTCTATGCTTGTACCAAGACTAAACAGTAACAGGAAAAAAGAAGTTCATTATAGGCTGATTTCATATAGCAAGTACTCCAAATACTGTGTCACTTTACTGTGTAATTAGTGTACCAATGTATGTATTAAAGTAAAAGTTAGCCATATTTTTCAAATAAACATAATGCATAAAATTTATAATAAATATAATTACTTCCCAAAATATTTATTTAAATAAAATTGTATCTAAAGACTGATGTGGTGAGGTGCTAAATGTTCTCTTTACTTTCACAATGATCACGTAGTGTGTTTACTTACTGTTTCTCAAGACCCCGTAACTTTAGCTGCATTCAGACCTCAGAACATGAAGAATCAGCCTAGACAATGCAGGGGCAAAAGCCTCTGGATGATGGATTCTGGTACACAGCTTGTTTTCATGGCCATCTTAGTACCACAAACAATCCGGGTAAACAAAGACCAGATATGCTTATATATTTTAGGAGAATAGTAAACCCCAGCTGTTGCAAGGTTGCTCAACATTTCCCATAATAAAGCCCTCTTTTCCCCTTTGCTAACCTTTAATTCAGTGATTCTCAATGAATGTGCTGTGTGGTGCCACTCAATATTTGCACTGTGACGTGTGCAAACACTTACATGTGATGCACAAGATGAACCCAGATCTTTCAAATCGGAATCCCTAGTATCAAAAACATCCCGACTCTGGTCGTCTTGAGTTCCTTGCAACAGAAGAATTACTCAATTTCCATAGTCAAAATTGAGTGAAAGCTATGAGTTGATGTTTCCTGAGGGGGGCCTTGAGATTTAACAAGGGGTACCTTGAGTTTGAAATGGTTGAGAACCGCTGCAGTTTATAAATATATGTATTAACTACAACAGAGAGCCTGGGGCTCTCTGTTCCTTTAAGAGAGAAGTAGACCGGCAAAGGAACACTGCAGGTCAGGCAGGGTGCAGCAGCTGTAGGTCACTGTGGCATCGGGGCAATGAGGCCAATTATCAGGCACTTGCAGGCAGCCCAGGGTAGTCTGCTGACCAGAAGGGGCATGGCCCTGGGAGGCATATAAGCCCAGGGCCTGAGCAGCAAGTTAGTTTAGCCATGCCAGCTGCATGGGTAGGAGCTCCTGCCTGGGAGAGTTACCAGGGGATGCTAGACCGACTGCTGTCCCGCCTGTGGCACCCCAATGAAGCTCGGGGAGCTCGCAAGGGCCAGGAGGTATACTGGCACAAGAAGTGAGGGAATGTTTTCCCTCTTAAAGGGGCAGAGGGCTGCTTCTCTTTGTGTGCGGATGTTGGTGGGCTTGGAGGGGACTGTTTAGGTTATAGCCCAGGGGCTCAGTGTTTGTGCTGAAGCTGTACATCGGCAGTTTGGGTTGGGACTATAAGGGGCAGTGTACGGAAGTCCCATTAATGCCTGTGGGGCACGCGATCGCCTTGAGCCCTGCCAGGGCAGGCTCAATGCTCAAGAAAGGGTTGAACCCGGAGCTGGCAGAGCATGAGGCCACAGAGCCACAAAGGGGCCAGGGGCCCAATGCCTAAAAGTGCTAGACCAGAGTTGGTGCCTCAAAGCCAGGTCCAACACAGTGGGCCTGGGCTAGAAGGCCTAGCCAAGTGGAAAGGGGTGGCAGCTGAGGAGGATGAAGCCCCAGCAGGTGAACAGCATGGCAGTAATGTCCACAAGGCTTGGGGTATGGTATAGGAGAGGAATTGAGTTGCACAATTAGCCCTGAAGGCTGTAGATGCCCTGCAGTGGCACAGTTGTAGAGAAGCCCAGCGAGAGGCCTAGAAATTGTGAGGCCCAACGTGAGGCTTGGAAATAGTGTAGTGGGACCAGAAGGGTCCAGTGGCCCAGTGAGGGGCCTGGAAATAGTGTAGTAGAGACCAGTAGGGTGCTGGGGAACCCCAGTGGGGGTCCAGTTGGACTGGGGCCCATGTGAAGGCCCGTGGGCAGCCTCCCTTTTAATCTTATTTCATCAAGGCATGGTGGGTGAGACAGAAGGGAAGGCACCCTAGAGGGAGAGTGGGACACAGTGAGGAGCTACCAGGAGGCATCACAGCTACTCCTGGGACCCCAGCGTGCTACATAGGCATCTTCATCCAGCTCTGGGTATGCATGTATTTAAAATACTTCAACTAAAATGATGAAGCTGGGTTTTTTAAAGATTTAAGGTTGGATGAAATATATTGTTCTGCCACATTAAAAAAAGTCTGACATACTTTTTTTTTTTTTTTTGAAGAGCTCTAGGACCCCAATCCTGTGAAGCATAGACTTACATTTTAGCATTTAGCATCCTTTGAGTCAAGGATGTGTCTTACTGTTTTCATGAAAATCCCACAAATTTGGCAAAGTTATAGAATTGAAAAAAAATCATTTGCAAATGTTCACTAGAGACTTTGTAGAGCATTGCTGCTAAATTCTTTAGTATTTGGGACTGTGGAGGGACGACTGAGACTGAGTGCTGGAGTATAGTGAGGGAGACAGAGATTGGGTGCATAAGGAAACTGAGACTGGGAGTTGGCAGAAAAAATGAGGAAAACTGAATAGCTGCTTGCTAAGTGAGTACTGACTACCCTATGAACTAAGCATGGTACTGGCTGTGGGAGGAAATAATATACAATTATAGATTATATCATAATGTGTAACATAAGAAGGCTAAATTAAGGTAACCTTAATTCTGACATTTTCTAAATTTTTTTTAGTGCTTCACAACATTAATAATATTCTTTTAAAGGTAGTTGCTGAGACCCAAGAATAACAGCAGGTTTGTGAATGCAATACTCTGTATATTTCAACTCCTGTACAAAATGTAACTTCTAAGTGAAATATAGATACAAAAATGTATATAAGCATCTAACTTTTAAATATAATCAAGCCCCCCTCACCCCCGCTATAATGTAGGGCGCACTAAAAAGAAACTCTGATCTCAGGTTCCCGGACTTGCAGATTTAATTATATGTTTATCTTTAAGGTGAGAAATGTGACAACTTGTGATCAGAATTATCTAGAAGAAATATTACTGATGGTGCCTTCCATTCAACATATAAATGTAGTTTACAAATATTAAAATTCATGAGTTTAATTACCCTCTGATAGGACTTGATTAAGCAAATTACTTAAACCTGTGCTTAACTTTTAAGAATGTGATAAGTTTATTGACCTTAGTGGGATTACTCATCTGTTTAAAGTTACACATATCCCTGTGTAATTTGCTAAATCAAGGCTTTAACAAGATCATTCTTCATCTGTACATGAAAAATATGATGAATATATTTTAAAAACATGCCTTATTATTTAAAAATAACATTAGGTGGGAAGTGTGATCCTTATTTAGTACTCATTCTACTTATGACTGATATTTGGTGACCATGAACAGTTACAAAAGAAACTGTGTTCCTTTTATACAATTCATGAAACATGTGAACTCAAACTTAAAACATGCTTAAACCCATTTCCTATTAGGTATATATACACAAGCAAATCAGACTATAGAATTAGTAGATATAATAATCATCTCTCTCACAACAGATACACTATTCTACACTGTAAAAGAGGACATTTAAACAAACTGTCTGTCTGTGGGATATGCTTCCTGTTCTTTCCTTAAAATGACTGTTCTGCTTTGAACATCTAGCTCCCTTGTGGTGGCCAGAACCAGAGGGGTTACTATCATGAGCAATAAATATATGCTCTTGGAGACATTCAGGCAATTGTCTAGCAGTTAAGATTAGCTAATGCAAAGCTTGCAAGTTTGCAACCTGCAAGTGGAATTTGTCTGTCACAATTTAACCAAAGTGTTGAATCGAACTGTTTGCACTGATCATGGGACTGACTGGGCCCCCAAAATAAGCAAAACTACAAGATTAGCTGATCTAACAGGTTTTTTAGAAGTCAGCCATAACAAGATCTGACCACCTAATATAATTAGCACATTCCAAGGAAACCATGGAATAAGAAACCAAGGGGTTGAGCTTGGGCAGAGTAATGCTAATTTCAAACCTCAAAGTAATGTGGTGTAATTTGCTTATTGGGTGAACCCAAGTTCGGACAGTAACCTTTCATGATAATTTCTAACACTTTTTAATCCCATAGGGTAACAGCTATAGGGCAAGATTGTAAGCGGCTCTAAAACCAACAGATTAGCATAAGATAAGGCATAAAGGAATGTGCATGTCAAGTGACCAGTTAGAAGGATGGGACAGAAGGACCATCTCTGTACCAAGCCTGGACCCCGGTCTCCCAGTGTGAATGAGGACTGGATCCTGACCAAGGGACCTTCCCGGTGACCCCTCAGACAGCATTGATCAGGGACGCCTGACTTCGCTGGAACAACGACAAAGCCAACATATTTAATGATTTCTTTGCCTCTGTCTTCCTCAGTAAGGACCAGAACTGCCATTTTGTTCAAATGACCTTGCGTCCCTCTGAAGGCAGAGGATTCTGCTCTCTTCTCCCATCAGTTTCAGCCTGTTGTCCATGACATTGCCTGTCCCACTATCAGCTCTTTGCACAATCAAGGTGTGTGACAGCATAGGGAGGCTGCTGTGATGTCTCAACATTCTGTGCATGCTTCCAGTTGTTAGAGGGAAGAAAAAGCGTCTTGCCAAATAAGCCTCAGCTGATGGGGAAAGAACCTCTGCACAGCCATGAGCGCTAGGTTGCTTCCCTGAACTGCAGTAAAAAGCTCCACAAGTATACCATACAAGATTGCTCTAGATGTCTGTCTGTTTTTGTTTTTTTTTCTTCTCATTTTCAGCTGTATTCATGGTTTTTCACAAGCCTTTCTCTCTAGTGTTGCCATCAAAAGTACTCCAAGTACCTGGACTGAATAACCTATTTATATTACTACTATCTGTCCTTGCAATGTGTTCTAGTCCAGCTGCATTTGCTAATCTACCCTCTGACTCAGACAGCTCAATGACATTTCTACCTTTTACTCACTTGTTGAAGAAAAGATCTTCAAATTTTTTGCAGGATGGGTTTGCAGGTAAGCTGAAAGTTTGAAGTACTGAATAAATTTTGTAGGATTTTACAAGGAGTGAAAGTCCATATCGTAACATATGGAAGTGCCCACAAGGTTAATGTGTTGAGGTACAGGGTTGTAGGCAACCCTGTTTCCAACTCTGCAAGGAAGTGCCTCGAAGAAAACGCATCCCACCTGTTTCTTCCTGCTCCAAATGCCAGAAAGCTGTAACATTTGTTTTTGTGTGATGCAGCTCGTGTGCCCAGCCCAACTTTAGCTTTGGGAGAGTTTATTGGTGTGTGCTCATTGCCACCTTAATGGCAATTACATTGCATGCTATTTGCCATGTGATGTGCATACATCAAGAGTGAGTGGGTAAGGTATGTTTCCATGGCAGCACTCCCTTGCACAGTTGATGTAGACATGGTGTTAAGGCTTTAGAGAGACAGTTGCCTTGTTCTGTTACATTGGCTCTGAGACTCAGTTGCAGGGAAAAGCATGCTCGGCGTAGGGCAGATGCAAATATCAGAGAATGTCATCACTAAGCACTAAAATGTCTCTGCTGATGGTATTTACGCTGCAATTTTCATTCAATTCAAATGTGTCCATATTTGAGCAGGTACAGGTAAGGGTGGCAAAAGGCAGAAGCCTGACATGAAATTCACTCCCTGTGCCAAATCTTCAGGTCCTGCTTCACAAGCTGGCAGAGGGAAGGTTTAAGTTGGACATCAGGAGGCGCTACTTCACGGTCAGGGCGGCTAGGGTCTGGAACCAGCTTCCAAGTGAGGTGGTGCAGGCTCCCACCCTGGGGGTTTTTAAGAGGAGGTTAGATGACCATCTTGCTGGGGTTGTTTGACCCCCAGTACTCTTTCCTGCCATGGCAGAGGGTCGGACTAGATGATCTGCCCAGGTCCCTTCTGACCCTAGAAACTATGAAACTTGGCAAGCACCTGGCATAGAGGGACTGCCGATAAGTTGCCAACTCCATGTGGGAACTCTTTGTCATTTTGTCTATTTGTTGTTAGTATTTACTATTAGCTCTTTATTATTGTACTATTTGTTTGTCGCATTAACCTTTCTATAAGCTATAAGTAAATTTGCCTTTACTTCACTCCCGACTCGCCTCCTCAATCCTGAACCCAGCAGCCTAACGGCTGATACACACATTCACAGCGCCTAGCCAGCCTGTGACACTCCCTGTCAAACTTATTAAAACACTGTAACAGTACAGGATCTTGTCAAACAAACTTATTGGAATAAACAGACCTGCATTAGAGGATGACTCCAGAAAGTGAAATGTGAACTTACGTGTATTGGATGTTTGCTTGCTGTAGATAGGGTAGCAGAACTCGTGAACTGTTCCTTGGTACACGTAGATCTGTGACTGTACCCTCTGAGATGTAGGAGAAGCTGCTGGGCTGCCACAGTTCTACCTATAGTGCAGGAACCAACCTGTAATTCATATTTATTCAGTGTAGGAGGGGAAGTGCAGGAAATAGAATGCTTGAAATTATTTTCTACAACTTTTTTTTATTGTATACATGATAAATGGAAATGTTCATGTCTAACAGTCCAGCCAACACTGTTTACTTACAGTACTTGGAGAATACCTTGTACTTTTTTGTTTTTAACAAAGCTTTGCTTTCAGTATTAAATATTGTTTATCTTTCTGAAAAGGCTAAAGTGAAAAATTTGAGAACTAAATCTGAAAAAGTCATCCAAATGAATAGTGCAACTGAGCTGCACAGTTGGGACTTCCTTATTATAATTCAGTTTATAATTGATTTAGCAATTGTCCTTTAATTCTCCTTTCCTCCCAAATTTCGGGTGTATTTGGACCAAGGACTTTTTTTCTTTTTTCTTTGTGTATACCACAGTAGTAAGAGCACTTTCTGGGCAACACAGAGAACCTGGCTCAGGGCGCATCACTATCTTTTATCTACAAAAATCTCAGCACCTGGCAACCATTATTCAAGAGATGTTTAAAACATCTGCCACTTTTCTGTATCAGATTTCCTATACATACATTAATTTCCTGTCAAAATCCCTGAGACTATTGCACATTCTCTCTATATCAGCTTCCCTAAAGGCAGCAGATTTTTTCCTTTTTTTAATAGGGCAGTAAAAGGAAAGAAAGCTGAAGACAAATGGAAAGTGTTTAAACTACACTAATATGATGCTTGCAAAGGTCATATAAAAGTTCTGCAATGCCATTTAATAATAAATATAAGAAAGATGCAACAAAAGGTCAATGCAGATTAATAAGGAAACACAAAATATAGTCACGGTTAAAGGTGTATATAAAATATTAGGTAGAAGGACTTGGAAAGATTATGATATGAAAGAGCAAAATGATTTAGAATAGCAAAATTGGAGGTTAGAATGAAAGTTAAGATCAATATTTTTCAAGCAGATACAAAATAAGAGCATGAAGTGCTAGAACTGGGGATTTTAAAGAGAGCCTGACTCCATTTGAGAATCTAAGAACTAGTAAAAGAATACTATTTCTGAAGCCAAACATGCCAAACTAGATTTTTGTTTCAGTAGCATGAGATCAAATGCAAATAATGGACAATAATGTGGATGTACGGACTAATGTAGAGGGGGTAAGGAACAAAGACATAGGAAATGGTTTTAAAAATAATTAATTAATTAGAATGTCTGAAGATGACCCAGGCTAAACCAGTAGGGGTTAACTATTTTGGCAGAAGTGCCACAACTAGCCCCACACTATTCAAAGCGCCACTTCAGTCTCCTTCCCCTGCTTGATCTGCTGCTCTGCTTGCCGCTCCATGATCAATCCACTGCTCTGTTTTCTGCTTCCTGTCCCAGGTTCCGTGCCTGATCTGCTGCTCTTCCCTTGCTCCCTTTGCTATCTGCCACTGTGCCACCTGTCCCCTCTCTGATATGCAGTGTGCTACACAGAGAGGCTGCCCGTACTACTTGTAGCACTCATGCTGCAGGTTGGCCTCCCTGATCTAAAATAAATTGCGATCCATCCAATAATTTTAGAAAAAAAATATTACAAAAATGGGGTTACTGTAAGAAACAAGTTTCCTTTTTTTAAAAGCATAATAGCTACCAACTGACTGAACAGACACTAATGTAATACCTATAAAGAGCTGCTGCTAGTCTATTCTTTGGAAACTAAATGGAATAAATTTGAAAACTACTGTGTACACTTCACCCCCAGGATACAAACTTTTTCAAAGTGTGTAGAAGTTTGAAAATTCAAGCTGTTCTGTGCTTTGAAATGTGTTGATCATGTTAGGGTGAAGCACCATAATAAATGCAGAGCAGTGATCTCAACCACAATATCATGGCACCTTGGGGTGCTTTGAAATCTTTTCAAGAGTGTTAAGGGTTGCCACACAATGTTAGCACTGTTAGGTATGCAAACTTGATTCACAAGAAGAACCCAGAGATTTCAAATAGGAATCCACAGTGTTAAAAACATTCTGACCTGTTGTGGTCTTTCTGTGTTCTTTGCAACATTAAAATAGATCTATTCTCTCTCGGTAGTAAAAAGTGAAAACTAAGAGCTGGCATTCTCCAAGGAGCGCCTCAAATCTAAAAAGGCTGAGAACCACTGAAATATAAAGATTTAGTATTTTTACACTCAGCTCCAGCAGATCCAGTAGAGGGAGCACAAGTTAACAAACCTGTTTCCAGAGTTGTACTGAAATCTTTGAGAGGAGGTAAGCAATGCAAGCCATTTTAGAGCAGCATGGAGATGAAAGCATAGAAAACCTTCACAATACTATTAGAAATAAAACAATTTCAAGATCCATCTTTTTCAAGAAAAAAAAACAAAAAAACTGGCCAAATAGGGCAAAATGAATAAAGTTGGGATAAAATGTCTTTCCCTTCTTAAATAGAATTTTAAATGTAGGAAGATAAATGGTTAAGCTTTTATCACATTAAATAATATCTTAAGATAATTGCAATCAACAGTACTAAGTTGGTATGAATATTGATCATGAAGTGCCTGAATGGTTTCATCCTGTGCTTCATGGATTACAAAGGGAAATTATTGCAAAAGTCTGTCTCTCCATTTATTTTAAAAGCTACAGGATTCTATTTCCATGGCATACAAGCAGCTCTCAGCATATATAAACCTCAGTGGTCCTTGGTCTCATCATAAACCTTGATTAAAAAAAACAAAAAAACCCAAAAAAACCAAACAAACCACAGGGATGCACTCCTATAACAAAGGTTTCACATTCTGACTTCTGCTTTTTTCTGACTTGGAGCCATTAGTCTGATCAGTGTGAAGTTATTTGCTCTTGAACCAGATGTAGAGACATGTGAATGAAATGTTAAAGGAAACCATAAACTGTTTTACAAAACAGTCTTTGGGTGTCTTTACACATGCTCTGGGAATGGGGGTGGAGGAAGCTTTAATTAGAATGGCTCTGAGAACCACTCTAATTAAAGCACCTTGCAGCATCTCATGTATTTAGCATCCTACCCTTCAAAATGGCGGTGGGACACTTTCATAGATTCTAGGGTCGGAAGGGACCTCAATAGATCGAGTCCGACCCCCTGCATAGGCAGGAAAGAGTGGCTGGGACAGAGGAACCCACACC